GCAGGCCCTGGAGATTGCTCTAAACAGCAAGGATTCTGTAGGGACGTGCTATTTTTAAAAAATTTGTTTTACAAATGTAGGAGATAATTTCTTCTGTCAAAATCTCTCCTTAGTCCCCTGAAGCCCTCCCTTTCTCTTGTCCCAGGCCTTTTGCTTGGCTCCACCCTACCAAAAGCCTTTGACTTTTTCCAGGCCCCATTTCTTCCCCAAATTTTCTCTTAATTCACTTCCTGGCTCTTTCCCCCTAGTTGCCAGCTGTAAATTCCCAGTTTCTATATACTCCTGTGCAACCATTTCCCTGTTATAATTACTACTATTTTTGATGAGGAAGATTAGCCCTGAGCTATCATCTGCCACCAGTCCTCTTTTTGCTGAGGAAGATTGGCCCTGAGCTAACATTTGTGCCCATCTTCCTCTGTTTTATATGTGGGATGCCTGCCACAGCATGGCTTGATAAGCAATGTGTAGGTCTGTGCCCGGGATCCAAACCTGCAAACCCTGGGCCACTGAAGCAGAGCTTGTGAAGTTAACCACTACACCACTGGGTCGGCCCTTCCCTATTATTTTTTTGATGGAATGCTCCAAAATAATAGCCTGGCCCAGGAGAAGGCGTACTTCTTTTCAGACTAACTTGCAGTCATCTGGGCCACAGTAAAGTCCTTCCCAGAAATAGGGACAGTGTACACACCCAGGGCATTGTACATGCTCATTCTTGTGAAGGTGTACCCAGTATAAGGTGTTTTGATCAGGTATTTGAATTCAGCCCATGTACCTCTTATGGCTTCTTGCCTGTTTGTTACAGTCGTAGAACATCTTGTCCTTTAGGGTGTGTTATCCAGTTTGACAAAAGGCCCTGTCTCCTCTCTTAACTGCAACAATGGGCCGAGAGCCCCTTGTTAGGGCCTGGTGAGTCAAGTCTACAACTCTGGAACTTGTTGGTGCACTTGCATTCTACCCCTGCCCATCTTTTCCCCAGGCATGCAAAACCAACAGTTGCTTCCTTAAGTGTAAAATGGGAGAATTTGGTTCATTTCCTAAAAGTTGATTATTGGTGCCTGCTTTAATATGCGGGACGCTCCTTATTTTTGAACACGAGAAAGTGCAAGGTATATAGTAGAAAGAACACAGTCAGACCAGGGTTCCGGTAAGTTCAGTTTCCCAACTGTATGGTTTTAGACAAGTTGCTTTGCTTCTCTGAGGCTCAGTTTCCTGTTGTAAGATGGGGATAATTCTATTGACTTCAAAAGGTTTTTAGGAATAAATGAGAATAATTAAGGCTTTGGGCATCGGGAATGATACATAAAAATGCAAACGTACATGTCTTTCCTTTCTTTTAGGCCTTTTTATTGCTTCCGATTCATCCTTGTGTGGTATTTAAATGGAACAATAATACCACCTATCATTGAGTCACTTATGCAAGGTCCCAAGCTCTAAGGGCTTTCCCATGCTGTCTCATTTATTTCTCCCAAGAACACATTTATGAAGCGGGAACCTTTTTTAAACAAATGTGGAAAACTGAGGCACAAGCTCATGAAGCCAGTAAGAGACAGAGCTGGGATTCAGACCGAGGTTTCTGATTCTAGAGCCTGCGTGTTAACTAATGATCACTAAATTGGTCATTATTACTTTCTTTTTCTTTTCCTGAGCAATATGTGACTTATAGTGGTTCTTATTTTCTCTCTACTTGGACTTGTTGGGATTTGTGTGAATGTAGTTCTTGAGCTTTTTTAGTCTCGGTTGTTGCCTGACTGTCTTTTGATGGAGGTACAGACAGTGACATTGTTAGCCACAGCTCTTCCTAATTCTTTCATTTAGAGCAGATCCCTTCAACTGAAAGGTGGTACAGCCCTCTTTTTTTTTTTTTTTTTCTTTAGAGACCCTCCCCTCATTCCTTCTTTACTGTTCATGTCAAACCAACTAGATTCAAGCAGTTAAACTTCTTGTCAATCTTGTTTGATTCATCAGAAGATCCTTCAGAAGAGCAGATGCTGTCACTCTCAATTTATAGATATGGAAACTAAGGTCCAGGAAAGTAAAATGACTTGTCCCAGGTCATATGGTGAATTAGAGGTAGAACTGGAACTAGCCTTTAGGTTTTCTGACTCTCAGCCCAGTGCTCTCTACTAATTTAGTAAGAAGGAAAGATATATGTGTATAATATGCAGGGTTAACAGCATAACACCTAGCCCAGTGCCTGGTGCGTAGTAGCCCATGTCTTTCTGTTACCCTGCATTAAGGCATGGCTTAAGTCCTGCTCCTTCCGTGAAGCTTCTGAGGCCACCTCTGGTCAGACTGATTTCTTTCTCCACTTTTACAATACATAGCACTCTTTGAACTGTTAGAGGCTGCCTAATATTGTTAGTAGTCCTTTGCAGGAAATTGACAGAGTCCCACTCTGGGCTGCAAGAAGTCTAAGGTTAAGGACTGTTCTCATTCATCCCTGCATCCTCTATAACCCCTAGCCCAGAGCTGTGACCATGACCAGCTAGGCTCAGGAAATACTTTTTGATTGATTGCATAGAAGGCTTGTATATATACGCAGTGTTTTCCAGCTGACAGAACTGTTAAAGAACTGCCTGGGAGTCTCCCATCCTAACTCTTCCCCTTTCCTTTCCTATCACATTTTTTTCACAAAATGCCTATATTGTAGGCAGGATGGGAATTATATCCCCATTTCGTAGCCGAGGAGTCCGAGGCTCAGATAGCATCCAGATCTCTTGTTAGGAGATAGATCCAGAGTAAGATAAGAGTAGCAGGAATGAGAACACAAATCTTAGCTGACTAGGTCTCCATTCTCCGGAAGCAGTAGGAATCTTTAAAAGAAGGAACAGGAGAACTGTAGTTTTGAAACCTTAGTTGATGGTGAGGGCAGAGCTGGATATAGTCACTGCCAGAGATGTTTCAGGAACATGACAGAGAGGGTGGTGAGAAAGGGTTTGGGATGACTTCATCAATTTGCTAGCCTTTGAAGATTAGGAAGAATTTGAATCTGTACAAACGAAGACCAGGCAGTCCAGATGAGACAACAGCTTAGACAAAACTGTGGGAATACTGGAAAACCCACAGTAGAGGTAAGGCAGGCAGATCATGGCATACCTAGAGAGGGAGGCTGAGGTGACTGGGAACCATGGCAGTTTTTTGAGCAGGGGAGTGGCATTAGGAACATTAGTCTAGCAGTGTGGGCCAGGTGATTGGAGCAGGCTGGGCTGGGGGAGACTCATGAAAGAGAGACTAGGGAAGAGGCTACTATAACGATCTGTTCTTGTCAATAAATTTTAAGAAATATTCCAACAGTGCAGGCAAGAGATCCTGAACCAAGAGGAAGTTGACACAGTAGGCAATAAGGAATGGTTTGGATGTAGAAACTTGTCAATTGTGGAAATGAGGGAAGTGGGGGTTAGAAAGCATGAACATTTGGAGTCTAAATACTTGTGAGAATAGTTATACTATTTACTGAACCATGTAGGCTAGGAAATAGGAGATGAGTTCAGTTTGTTGACATGTTGAATGTGAGGGTGCTGATAGTCCATTTCCCTTACCACTCACCCCCTAGTGCCTCTGCCTTTTTCCTTTGACCTGGGCCTGTAGAGATCCTTCAGTTCCATGTGTTTGCTGCTTTGTTCCAGGCCTGGTGGCCTCCCCACCCCCTGCCCCATCTCTCCACCAGTGTCTTAGAGCAACTGTCATTGTGTCTCTCAAATAAGATGTGCATGTAAGGTGCTTAGCCCCGGTACCTAGTCTATTTTCAAGTGTTCATTGAATGTTAGTGGCTATTTAAATGGCTGTTGTTGTGGTTACCATCATAGCTTTGTCATCACAGTAGCTAGAGATTAGAGAAGCCTCTGGAACTACTTGGCTCAGGAGTCTTTCAACTGGTATTCAGTAAAAAGGCTGGACTACAAGTAGGTGGAGAGGATCTCAGGCTTGGGACTCTCAGCCATGTCAGCTAGGACTAGAGAACGTGTTTCTGGTCTTTTTTCTTCTGTTTTTGAGAAGTAGTATAGTGTGTGGTTAAGAGGGCAAGTCCTCGAGGTTGGACTCCCTGGGTTCAAGTTCTAGCTCTACCATCTATTAGCTATGTGACTTGTGCAAATTTACTTAACTTCTGTGCCTCAGTTTCCTCACTAGTAAAATGGGGAATACACCACCACACCAGTCCTTACAAGATTGTCATAAAGATTAAATGAGTTAATACAACTAAAGGGTTTGCAACTGCCTGGCATGTACTATTATTCTCCTTGCCCCAGAGACACCTTTATCCCACATTGCAGATAATAAATAGGAGTTTCTCTGTTGTTCAGCCATCCTCACCCAACAGAGGAGGGGGTGAGGGGAGAAACCTGAAACCAATCTCAGAGTGTTTGAAAGTTTGTTGCACCTGGGTTTCAGGTTATCTAAGCCTAGAGGAACTTGACCCAGGAGTGAGACAGAGTTAGAGTTGTCCAGAAGACCCTAGTTCTGTTCCCAGTTCTGCCACTGACTTCCTTTGATCTTGGGCAAGTCACCTAACCTCTGAAGCTCAGTTTTCTCATTTGTAAAATAGAGAGTATAATTAATTCTTCCACATGTATCTAGCATCTCATTCTTCCAGTACTACATTCTAGGTATATTGACTTTCTTGTTCCTTAAGCATAACAAGCTTATTTTGCCTAAGGCCTTTGTACTTGCTATTCTCCCTCTCTGAAACACTCTTCCCTCAGATCTTTTCAGATCTTACCCTTCACTTCATTCAGGTCTTTGTCCAGTAGTCACCCCTTGGAGAAGCTGTCCCTGACCATTTTATCTAAAATAGACCTCATTCTCACTCCTTGTCATTCTTTCTTCCCTTACTCTGCTTTATTTTTCTTTATAGCACTTAGCATGACGTGAAGTTATATATTTAATCATTAACTTGTCTTTTGCTAGGATGCAGGCATGTGAAGGCAGGAACTTTAAATGCCTGCACTGACCTAAGTTTGTGCCTGTTTTGAGCAGAACCCTGACTTCTCTCTCTCTTATAGGTGAGCCCTGTTCCCAGAGGTGCTGACCCTGTAACCCAAAAGAGGAAATCGCTGGCTGAGCTCAGCCTCGGTACTGGTGAGTAAGGGTGCCTGGGCAAACTCAGACCAAGATACAGGGTAACTAGTTGGGGGCATATTTTTGCCCTTAGTATAGATAACTTACAAGTGATTGCTCTCCTACTCCATGTCTAAGATTGGCATAGGCAGCCTCCTGTACTGGGAAGAGATGGTCTGGGATCATTCGCCATGAATAAGGCAAAGCAGGTTTACTTAAGTTCCTTCTGGCTTCTGCCAGCTGCTTTCTGCTGGGGAGTATCCTGGGCCTGGCAGCTAAATCCATCCTCCCACAAGCTCTCTTAAAATGACCTCATAGCCCTTAGAGACTTTCTTGATTTCTTGACTGGAAGGAGATTCTTGACTGTGACCTACCAAGCCCATAGGTTAGCTTTAGAAAATCCTATAGTTTCAGCTGTCCTGCAGAATGTAATTGTGAACGGTGGTGAGGTTGGAATGATAGAGTAATGCTGTGTGAAGGGGAAGTCAGGAGAAGCTTAGAGGGAAGACCACAGATGGTGAGACAGGAAGGGAAGTCAACACATTAAGAACCAATTATGTTGTGGATCTCATCTAGACAAAACCCCATTTTATAGATGAGGGAATTGAAGCTCAGGAAGCTGAAATAATTTGCCCAGGGTTCACACCTAGGAATCCATAAAGCTGATGCCAGAACCCAGGTCAGTCTAACTGTAAATACCAGTTTTCTTCCTGACTTGGCAGGCTTTCCTTAGACTGCTAATCTCCCTCGGATCCAGATTTTTCTTACAAAGTTTATGAAGACAGACCTCCTTAGGGATTCAGGAAGGAGGTCCACTTATTTGAGGGACCCAGCAGGGCAGGCAGGAGTTGTGCGTCCCTTCTGAGCAATGGCATTTCTAGTGAGAGGGCCAAGAGGCTGAAAGATAGGAAGAACCTTCAAGCAGGCAGAGACCCAGGCTAAATAAGACTGGAAGGGGAAGAAAACATCTGTAATGTGTGGGATGCCATAAACACTTTGGCCAGCAAAGATAGGGACCTGGAGAGCTGGATTGGAGTTGGGAAACCTGGATTTTTATTTTCTTTCGACATTTGCCCTTGGATAATCTCCATTTACCTATTTGTAAGATTGGAGTGCCTCCCTCCACCGTCAGTGTCTGTTATGTGTACACCAATCGTGGAGGATGTTGTAGAGAATCAAATGAGAAATGCAAGTTGGAAAGCTTTGTAAATTGTAAAGCAGCATGACCAAAATGAGGGAAAGTGAGAAGGAAGCATTATAAGTATCCCTGGCATCTCAGTCTCTGACCTGTATGCCAGCCCCCTCCCCAAAGGTGTAAAAGGGAGGATTTTTTTCGTGAAATTTGCACTAAATCTTTTCCCATGCCCTCTCCTTCTTCTGCAGGCCCTACCCGATGCTCAAGCTTTCCACAAGGGAAAGAATTCCAGGGCACAGAGACAAAGCTAGGCAGCATTGGCAGCTATAATTTACAGCATGTGGGCTGCAGAGTGCAGGTTTAAATGCACTCACACAGCCTGATTCCAAGGCCACTGCCAGCACAGATATTAAAGCAGTTTTCAAGAGCCCATCCCCAGCATGTGTCTGCACTCACTGATTAGCACCACTGAGGTGTTGCTTTGTTCCCTACTGTCATCTCAGAAGAGGAAGGCTATTCTTGTTTTGGCCCTAGGTTCCCTGCTCACCCCCAACCCTACTCTTCAACTGTGAGTGAAAAAGGCACTTATGCTGTAGCCTCATATCTTATCAGAGGCCATGGTCATTCCAGTTTTCCCACCATCTCTCTCTTGCCGTCGGCCAGTGAAATCGGTCATTCTCTTCACAGTTTGTAACAATAGACATTCTGTTCTTCCCTCTTTCTGCCTGAGAATGCACACAGGAGTCTGTCCCCCAACCGGTGCTCTTGGAATCCACACTCGTCAACCTTCCCTCTTTTCTGAATCTCCAGGTTCTTGCTGCCACCTCTTTTTGTCTGGTTATTCTAAAGTTCTGTAGCTTCTGGCCTTTCCACGGCCTGGGTGCTAAGCTTGGGTCTTGTTCTTGTAACAAGTGCTCTGTGAAGAAGTTCAACTATTGACTATTTTAAAATATGAATGATTCCATGTAAGAAAGTGCATAATATAGGGATGTCCGTATAGTAGCTTATTTATCTAACATCCTCAATTTTCCAGAGCCCAACTAAAAAGCAAGAAAGAAGCAAAGCATTGTCATTCTTAAGCCCTTACACAGCACTAATTTATTGCTGTTTTTACATGTTGTTATAACAATTTAGCAATCTGATTTCTAAACATCAGTCAGATTTATAGCAGCATATAAGAAAGGGGGAGGAGCTGCTATATTAACAGCAGCTAGAGCTGAAAGCTAATAGTAAGGGAGGGGTGAAAGAAGAATGATAAGAAAGAAGTTAAAATGAGTATGGAGGCCATTTAATTTAGGGGCACTAACCCTACAGAAATCTATGTGCTTTAGTAAGGTGGCGCTAGGTAATTTTTAAGCTAGTTCTAGGTTCCTCTTGAAGGCTAGATTTATCAGAAAATGTTAAATTAATTATTTGTGGTGTCTGTTATCAGGTGCTATACTCAATGCTCTACATAAATCGATCTCATTTTCATAGCAGCTTGGGAGGTAGGTGGTAGTCTCATATAAATTACTGAGATTTGGAGAGGGACACACAAGCAGTAATTGGAAGAGCCAAGCTTAGAACCCTGAAGAGTCTGGCTCCAGAGAACTGAGTTTTTTCTATTATCCTACATTGGCTCTTTCCCTTTCACCTAAAATCTTGGTGCTTCTCAGCCTCTTGGGCCACTGGTTCCCCCCCTCTCCTTTTGTTGATTCTCCTGTACAAAAATTTTCTTTTTAAATATTCATTGATGTAGTATTTATTGCGTGTTCACTATGTGCTAGGCACAGTTTTAAGTGTTTGAAATGTAGCAGTGAAGAAAATAGTTTTCTCTCTGTAATTTAAATTCTAGTGGAGGAAAACAGGTAAACAAATGTATACATATGAAGAAAAATAAAGCAAGGCAAGGGAATAGGGAGGGAATTGCATGATGAAAGAAGGCCTCTGTGAGAAAATAAAATCTGTGCAGAAATATGCAGGAACTGAAGTAGTGAGCTGTGTGTATATCTTGGAGAATAACATTCCAGGCATAGAGTTCAGCAAGTTCAGAGGCCCTGAAACAGGAGGATGCTTATTGTGTTTGAGGCACAGGAGGAGGCCAGTGTGGCTAGAGATGAAGTGAGCAAGAGGGAGAGTAGAGTATGGAGAGGAAATCACAATGGTAGACAGGGACCCAGATCATTTAGGGCTTTATTTTGAGTGGAATAGGAAGCCACTGGAGAGTTTTGAGTAGAGGAATGACATAATCTGACATCCATTAAAAAAAAAGTCCCTCTGCCTGATTGCACTGGCTAGGATCTCCAGTACGTTGTTGAATAGAATTGGTGAGAGCAGATACTCTTACCTTGTTCCTAGTTTTAGGTTGAAAGTGTTCAGTCTTTCACCATTAAGTACAGCGTTAGCCGTAGGGTTTTTGTAGATAACTTTTATCAGGCTAAGTTCCCTTCTGTTCCTAGTTTAGTGAGCAGTTTTATTATGGATGGATGTTGGATTTTGTTTATTGTGTGGTTTTTGTCCTTTATTCTACTAAGGCAGCAGTACATTAATTGATTTTTGGGTGTTAATCCAAGCTTGTGTTTCTAGAATAAATCCCACTTGGTCACAGTGTATATCCTTTTTATATGGTGTTGGATTTGGTTTGCTAATAGTTTGTTGAAGATTTTTGTGTCTGTATTCATGAGGGATATTGGTTGGCAGTTTTCTTTTCTTGTGATGTCTTTGTTTGGTTTTGGTATCAGGATAATACTGGCCTCATAGAATGGATTGGAGAGTGTTCCCGCCTCCTCTTCCACTTGAAGCCGTGTGGGCCTGGGCTTCTCTGTTGAAGACTTTTTATTACTAATTCACTGTGTCTATTTTTCTTTGTTATAGGTCTACTCAGATTTTCTACTACTTTTTGAGTTACTTCTGATAATTTTTGTTTATGTTGTCTAACTTCTTCGCTTAAAGTTGTCCATAGTACGTACTTATAATCCTTTTAACTTCTGTAAGGTCAGTAGTGATATACCCTTTTTTATTCCTGGTTTTGGCAATTTGTATCTTCTCTCTTTTCTTCATGGTTAGTTCTAAGGATGTTGACTCTGGCAGAGAGGCAGGGTCCTGAGCCTAAGAATAAAGCCAAGAGATCAAAAATCCAAGATGGAAAACAGTAATAGATTAGGAAACCAAGGTCCATAAATTTTGTTGATCTTTTCAAAGAATCAACTTTTGGTTTCATCGTTTTTCCTAGTCCATTGATTTCTTACTTTAATCTTATCTTCTAACTTAAACTTGCTTTGAGTTTAGTTTGCTCTTCTTTTTCTAGTCTCTTAAGGCTAAGGTCATTTTTTTAAGGCACTGTGCAGCCCATACAAAACTCTTCTTCAGGCTTGACTGACCTGTGGGATGTCAGTTTGCTCCTGATGTAGTGGCCTCTGGAGAAGTATCTGGAGCCTCAGAGAGGACCTAACTCAGAAACAATGGGAGAGACAAGTGGTCTGCAATGTAATGCGTTACTAGCATGAAGAGGGGATTGGGCTAGACCTGTGGCGCTGAGTAGCCTGGATCCTGCCTGTCCTAAGTCGCCAGTGGGCAGGCGTGTGCTTCATGTGGGAGTTGAGGGAGGTGGCAGCAGGAAGTCAGGTAACACATGGAAAGCTGGAGCTCTCCAGGCTTCTGAGATTTTGCCAGAGCTGGAGGAGACAGCTGCCCACCTCACAGGCTTCAGAGCCTTCCAGATGGCTTTGGAGGCCAGTAGAATATCTCTGTTGCCTGTTCATGACTGAGATTCTAAGCAGAGATTTGTTTCCATTAAAGAAATAAGGCTTAAATGCAGATCTCATAGGTAACATTGAGGTTACCTCAATGAGCAATGCCTGGGCTTGCTAGGTACTTATTTGTAGCCTTTAGTTTCCTTATCTATAGA